TATGCAAAGTTGAATAAGTATGGATTCTAACTTGAGCAGACTTCCTTCCTAGGTCACATAGTACCGAAAGATGGAATATCAGTGAATGTTGACAAGATTAAGGCAATGATGGTTTGGAATCAGTTGACATCGATTAAGGAAATTAGATGTTTCTTGGATATGATAGAATATTACTGCAGGTTTATAGAAAGGTTCTCAAATATAGTAGACCTCCTGATACGACTCACGAAGAAAAATTTTAAGTTCGAGTAGAATGAAGAATGTAAAAGAAACTTTACAGAACTCAAAGAACGATTGACTATCGCACCAATGTTAGCTATGCCGAATGGAACATGTAGATATACAATATACAATGACATGTCCTACTGAGTTGCGTTTTAATGCAGCACAAGAAGGTTATAATTTATTGGTTCAGGAAGTTGAAAGTTCATAAAAAGAATTACCCCAGATTTGGAGCTTTTTGTGATTATCCGCATCTTGAAAACCTGACACCATTTCTTGTATGGGAAGACATTTATAATCTATACAGATCATAAGAATCTAAAATATATATTCACCCCAAAAGACCTCAACATGCTTCAGAGGCATTGAATAGAACTCCTTAAGGATTATGATTGTAAAATCTTGTACCACTGAGGTAAGGGTAAAGTGATAGCCGATGTCCTCAGTAAGAAGAATGCATGTATATTAGCTTATATAATATCTGAGTGCAGGATGATGAAGGCCACACAGCAAATACATCTCCAAGACTTGAAGAGGGCAACATGCCTAACTCATTTAACAGTCCAACTCGAGTTAATTTAGAGAATAAATGAGGCTCAACTGGCCGATTCCACTCTACCAGCTCTCAGAAATGATATAAAACATGGTTTTAATTCAGAGTTCCAAATTTCTGAAGATGGGCTGGTTAGGTTTCAAGATAAATTGTGTGTTCCTAGTGATTGTGGGTTGAAGGGAGATATCTTGATAGAGACTCACAGTTCGAAATTCACCATGCACCTGAAAAGTACTAATATGTACCAGAACATATGGCCCCGATTCTGGTGGAGTGGGATGAAAAGGGATATTACTGACTTCTTCTCCAAATGTCTTATAAGCCAACAGGTTAAGACAGAGCATCAACACCGAGGGGGGCTACTTTAGCCGCTACCAATTCCGAAATAAAAATGAGAACATATCATCATGGATTTTCTAATAAGATTGCCTAAGGTACATTCGAGACACGATGCGATTTGGGTAATTGTCGATCGATTCACTAAGTCCTTCTATTTCTTAGCTATTAGAATAACAAATTCCTTGAACAAGTTAGTTAGAATTTATATCTGAGAGATAGTCAGATTGCATAGAGTTCTGGTAACGGTGATATCAAACAGGGACCCCAAGTTTACCTCTAGGTTTTGGATAAGTTTTCAATAAACAATGAGAACAAAATTATCTCTTAGTATAGCATTCCGCCCTCGGACAGATGGACAATCAGAATGAACTATCCGCGCACTAGAGGATATGTTCAGGGTTTGTGTTCTAGATTTTGAAGGACACAGGGATGATCACATACCCCTGATAGAGTTCGTCTACAATAACAGTTATCATATAAGTATTAGTATGATTCCGTATAAAGCATTATATGGTTGACTCTGTAGGTCACCAATCTGTTGGGAGGAAGTAGTTGACAGAAAATTGAATGACCCAGACCTAGTAGATGAGACCATAGAAAAGATTGTCAAAATTAAAAAAATGTTCAAACGGTACAGAGTAAACATAAGAGTTATGCAGACACTCGAATGAGAGATTTGAAATTTAAGAAAGATGATCTAGTGTTCCTTAAAGTCATTCTTAAGGGCATCACCAGGTTTGGAAAGAGAGGGAAATTGAATTCTCAGTTCATCGGACCTTGGATAGAATTGGACTATCCGCCTACAGACTAGTATTGCCTCCAGAACTATTCAGAGTCCATAACATCTTTCATATGTCGATGCTGTGCAAATATAATCTTGACCCTTCGCCTGTTTTTTTCTTAGAAGCCATTTTTACTTCAGGAGGACTTATCTTACGAAGAGGTACCTGCCAGTATTTCAGACCGAAAGAGTAAGGTGCTTCGCAATAGAGAAATTCCTTTCATCAAGGTTATGTGGCAAAATCGCTCGCATGACAAGTCCACCTAGAAGTTGGAATCAGACCTCAGGGTTAGGTATTCTCAATTGTTTGACTAGGGGTAGCAATTTGAGAGTAAATTTTTTTTTTAAGAGGGAGAGTCTTAATACCCCGAGTATGAGAATTTGGCTCAAATATGACGAATTTTAATTCTTTTTTAAATAATAATAATATATAAGTTTTAATTTTAATGTCTTTTTTTTTTTTCTACCTGAGTTTCAAAAACATTCTCATAACCCTTATTTAGACATTTTAAGTAAACGTGTAATGAATGTAATTTTAAAACTTTAATTGCTTCTATAGTAAACAATAAATTTCAGAGTTATACGTTCGAAATCTCATATAAGGATTTGAGTTTTTACATATAGTATAAGAAATATAACGTCTTATTTTTAGGTTATATGTATGGTGTTCTCTAAAGTACATATATACACGAATAAATAATTGTATAAATATTATATATGGTGTTTCTTTTTCTTTTTAAAAAAATTGAGAACGTATATATACATATATATTTAAAAAAATATTGATATTATTTTTTATCCATTAAATATAACTGTTATTATTACGATATTTTTATTTCCTTCTTGTCCTTAATTCTCTACCAATTGATTTCATTCCTTCTAAGTACTTCCATGGCTTATTTGGTTTACCAAATAACAATTAATTAAGATTGAAATTAATTAACGTTCTAAAAAGATTAGGACTTGATTGAAAATTTAATCATAAAGAATGTTAGTAAGCAATTGTTGCACATGAATTTGAAGTTTTAATAATTATAATCAGCTATCGGCTATGCATGTGTGTGTGCATTACCTCTATTCTTCTTATCCAAAATTTTCTCTATTCTCACTGGGCCCTTGGGAAACATAGATATTCAAATGCTTCCACACATATATATATATATACACACACGTGTGTGTGTGTGTGTATTCTTTAAATAATTGTTGAAGGGTTTCCGTTCCTGCATAATCTGAATAATTTGTTATGTTATGTTTGAAATAAATTTGATTTGTAAATTCATAATTATTTTAATTAATGAATTAGTATTGAGTTCATATCCAATTTTTATTTGCTTATTTTAGAATAGGGTGCTTTAGATACAAGGGACACCATTTGTTATTGTTGTCTAAATTAATTATTGCTTGTCGTTGTGGGTTACATTTGTTACTATTCTTGATTCACTCGATATGGCACCATATTTATTTTATATATATATATTTTTTAAAAAATGTTCCTTATTTTTTTAAAAAATAAAATATCATTGTTATCTAAATTTTGAAAAAAAAAATGCTGTTGTTATCTTCAAATACCAAGTATGTATCTATTTTTTAATTAAGATTCTAATAATATAGAGCATATTTTTCTTCAATATAATTGATATCAGAGTATGTGCTACAACGATTAACTTAGTGGAATATATAAGGGGCTGCTCTAAAGAATATTGTAACCCTCTTTTAACATATGGCATGATATTGGCAGACCGTCACACAACAAGGAAGTAATTGATTTGTTGTTTTATATTATTATTTGAACTATTTGATTGGCAAGAAATAAGAAAATCTTCAACAGTAAGGCATTTAGTGTCTACTTAGTACAAGACTTGCTTAGTGGGAAAAGACGCTTCTTAACGAGTTTGGGAGGCGTTTGATTAACCAATTGCTAGTATCCTTGGATGAGTGATGGGGAGAAGCCTTCTAATGGTTAAAAAATATTTAATAGTAAGACTCATTAAGTGAAAAAAAAGTATTGCTTAACAAGTTCGAGAGATTCTCAATCAACCAGTTACTAGTATCATTGAATGAGGTGCGGAAAGAGGCATTCTAATAAAATTTCTAAGCATATGTATTAAGCTTAAAAATCCAATCTATATATCAACCCATGAATTCATATTTAAAAAAAAAAAGTTCTTAGTAAAAAAATTAATAAAACTATATTAATCACACAAATGTTATAATATTAAAAAACATGAATATAAAATTCTGATTGGATAAATTACTCAAACCAACAGCTTGACGAGGAAGCCTATTCATAAGCTCATATTTGAATACTCATATTTACGTATTCAAAAGTTCAAAATTATTCATAATTTAAGTCAAGACTTATTTGTGGGTAAAATAGAAATGCAAACTTAAAGGATAACTTTAAAATAGTTGTCGTTACTTGTTGAAGAAAGAGCCTCGATAAGGGACAATCATCCGCCAAAAGATGCAACTAGAAAGAGATTGGAAGGAGTGCATTTGGGACAAGATAAGTTTAGTGAATTATGGAATTTTTTTTGTTAAAATGGTGAATTGGTTTGTTTTTTTTAATAAATTGATTTACATTTATAATGATTAAACAAAAAAAAATCATGTTAGAAGTGTTACATTATCAGACACAGGTATTTCACATGGACAACAACTCAACCGAATTGTATCATGTGTCCAAACTTGAGTTTACATGACACTCGTACAAATATCATTAATAATTAGAAACTGAAATATAATTTTTTTGAAAGTATAAAGATTAAAATAACAAAAGATAGTATATACATTAATTTAAATATTTTAAAATAGTACATAAATCAAATTGGTATTTTATTGGATTGTGGTTTATAATATGTTTTAATTTAAAATTCTATCTTGAAGTCCTTGTACTTTTCTTATCAATCTAAACAAAGTTTTTACTTCAAAAAAAAAAAAAATCAAAACGTCATTTATAGATTTGTTTCTAATATGGTCTAGATAATCTTAATTCCCCATGTACTCTGTAAGGAAAAAATTATAGGAATAATATATATGAACATAAATTTAACAAATCTAAAGACAAAACATTTACACAGTTTTAGATCCTTAATAAACCATGTCTTTATTAAATAGGAAGTTATACGAGACATGCGCAGATACATACAAATACAGAAATACTACCAACTATATTAATATCTCATACTTGCACTACCTATATGTATATATATATATATATATATATATATTTAAAAACATCAAATGGCACGACATGGCTACATATATAATAAATAGATATATGTGCATGCTGGCCATATGTATAGCCACAAAATTGGAAATTACACACATGAATATAACATATATATATATATATATATAAAATATTAAAGGAAGTCGGAGAGAACATTTTTAACGACGTAGTCTGCGACAATACGATTGGTTTTCTGGGTGGGATGGAAAGAATCCCAGAACACGTATTTATCAGCATTTGTGCACGTATATGGATTCCGACTGTCACATGCATATCCCATCTCAAACATCCCCGTCGCACAGCACGCCACTCCTGCTACGTCGAATCCTGCACCACCACACGACCATTTTTAGTATTTTTCTTTTTATCAACGAAATTATTAAATCATGATAAAAGTATAAACTAGCAAGTAATAATACAAGACTATATAAAAGTAATATATACAAGACTTTCACATTGACCTAACCGTTTCTGTGAGCTCATTAAATTCCCACCAAAATCATGGCTAAATGTGATGAGACTTTTAGATGCCTCCCTAATTAATTACCCTCCAGGACTTTCACGTGTTACTTGGAAAAAAAAGGCATGAAACTATAATTCCATAGCCAGTTCATTAGCCAATCTACCAATTAATCATCTTTTTATGATTATATACGTCATATTATATTTATATATGTACTAATTAACTTACCATAAGCGGAAGGTTTTCGTATAATTTGCAGGAGTACATTATAGGGATTTGAGAAGACGAGTTGGATATCCGGAAGCTCCTTGTTCATCTTCTCCGCCAAGTTCTTCAGTTTCACATTGAACTCTGAGGCCACATTATTATACTCCTCCACGCAACCTCGCCCCTGCATCAGGTTCGTTGTCCTTTCCAAGGGCATGCACCCCATCGGAGGGATCCCTCCTAGGGATATTTTCCGACCTCCAAGCTCGTACAGTTGCTTAACGAAGTTCCCGGCGATCTGGACCAGGAAATCCTGGTACTGGCCGATACTATACTGGGATGATCGGCCGCCGGGGATGGCATAGTAGTTTTCTAGAAAGTCGTTTGTTCCTAAGCTTATCATGTACAAAGCTTCCTTAATGATCTCGTTCGATTTGTTTTCTCCAACCTGAGCTTTCAGTTTCTTCTGATATTCCTTGTAGTACTCCAGTTCCTTCCATAGAGGTATTACAGACTGAATATACAAGAAAGTAAATGCGCCGTTAATCAATTTCATAATCTCGCTTGTTAGAATATAAACAAAAAAGAAAGAAGGATTTGAGTTGGTGGGTGCTTACGAGCACATCGGAAGTGGCATTATCATATCCAGTTGCAGCGGAAGCGAAGGTGACTCCGGTGGCAAAATCTGAGATGCTATAAGCTGGATCTAGATAAGGAGGAATGGTTTGTTTTAAACCAATAGCTTCAGAAATAAAGTCAGTGGCGATTCTGCCATTGGAGAACCTTCCTGTTGGCTTGCCGCCGGTGAAATCACGACCATAAGGCTGAAAATTGCTCCTTGCAACCGTGGGAATAAAGTTGTTGTTGCCCGCATCAACAGATGAGTCACCAAACACGATAATGGCTGGAACCTTTGCCCCTACCTTGGCCAGTAAAAGGAGGAGCTGACATGAGAGAAGCCACAATAAAGCATGAGAGTTTGTGATCATCTTTTTATTGTTCCTTGTCTTGTTTATAATCAGAGAATATTTTGTATGTTGAAGAACTTTTAGTGGAGAACAAGGCAAATAGATGGTGTATATATATATATGCATTAATTTATGTATGAAAATGGTAATGCTTTGGTGAGTTAATGAAGTTTTCATGGGTTGAAGATGGTCGTTGAAAGTCTTTAATTTGGCATGAAAAGTTGGTAGAGTGAGAAATAATAGACATCATGTGGACAAAAATAATAGGAGGGGACACACAAAATATCCTTCAATATCATCTTCTAATTAATTAGCGACCTAAGATATGTGAAGTATGATCTATCTGAACCTTGTATGTCTATGTGTATATATAAGAATTTTTGTACATATATAATAATCTTGGGTTATCTTTTAGTATAATGTATTTGAAGTATATATAGTATAGTTTATATATGAAAAAGTTTATTTTAGTTAAAAAAAAAAAAAGAACATGATTATATTACATTATACGAAAGGAATTGTTGTGTGAACTTCATGATTCTTGTTTGCTACGGAGGAAACAGAAAGGTTAACCAAATTAATTAAAAGAAGATTTTAGATTAAAAAGAGAAATATTTTTAATCCTTTAACTATTTGTTAGTTACAATTAAGTTTTAAGAATTTTTATATTATTTTTAAACTCACGATGTTTTTTTTTCAATTCAAAACTGTGAAAATTTTAATAATTTTTTTTCTCTTTTGTTTATATTTTATTTTTAATTAATTATTATCAATTAAAGAATATTAGTCATAATAAACTTAACAAAAATAATTGATTTATTTTATTCAGCGATGAAGATGATAAAATAATAACACATATTTAAAAAAAATAAAAATATGGTTGCAATAAATATTTCTAGTTTTTTTTTTTAAATTCATAATTGTAATATAAGTATTATATTTTAATTTTCTATATTAATAGAGAAAGAAATTTTGAAATTTTTATTAAAAAATTCATTAAAAATCATGTTTTGACGTAATTTTTTATAATTTCAAAAACTAAATCATACTGAAAATTTTAATACTAAATTAAAACGTAGTTCATAATTAAGAGATTGTACTGATAATTTGTGCATTTTAAATCATTATTTTCACTATATATTTATTAAATTAAGTTTAAACTTTTTAAAAATATTTAATAAATAGAATTAATTAATTTATAATTAACGCAGTCTTAGTTAATTAATTAATTATTTACACCCTTTTGTTGTTGAAAAGTCCCAAAGTCCAGCCACAGCTCGATCTGATCAGTACCACCTGCTTGCTCGTTAATAATTTCTCTGTACTGCTAATTAAAGAGAAAGGCAGAGTAAACTGAATACACAGTGCTGCTTGTTTTACACTATTTACTGATATATATTAAGAAATATATATATTAATCATATGTAACATAAATGATACATTATTTTACCTAATAAAATTTATAAATAAAAAAAAAATGCATGAATCATTTAATTAAATTATAGTTGGTAAGTTCACTAATATATTTATATACATATAATTAAATAAAAAAAAATTTCAGTACAGTTTATTTATTTTTAAAATTAATTAATGCAGAAGGGCGGTGTTGTTGCAACTACCTATAGACATAATTAGAATTATGACATTAAAAGCGTTCCAACAGAAATGGAGGTGTGTACCCCATCACCATAAATGTTCATCAGAATTCTGAGAGATCTCCTAATTGCCGCTTTAATTGGGAAATTATTTTTATAATCTTATTGCTTCTAATTGAACCGATTCCTCTTTTCTCCTTGGATTTTTTTAAAAATTGGAATATGGCTGATCATTTTAATTCGGATTAGGAGAATGTTTACGGTTCTTGATTTATGAATTGTTATTCAATTTTTCTTAATAAGAAATAATTAATTATGGGTTTGTTTTTTTTTTTTTCAGAAGGATCAACGCGGTCATCTAAGTTTTTCACGACTAATTAAATATCAAATTAAATTAAATGTAAAACATTTCAACGTATAGACATTAAAAGTTTTACAATTTTCTGGGAGCTATTATTTAATTAATCAATAAAATGATTAATTGGTTAATTAAATAATCCTACTTTTAGTTTTAGATGCCTCCGTCTCTACAAAGTTCTGTTCTGTAAGGGAGAAAGTACATTTCCTAAAAAGTCAAAGAATATTATTTAAAAGAAATTTTCAAGCACTCTCCATAAATCATCTAAAAAATCTTTGGTTGTTGTTGCCTTAACGTCACATTTTCGCTAAAGAATTAATTTATTGTTTCAGGTCTGAGTAAAATTTGTCCTCAGAAATTAAAAAACACGATTGTTTTGTATATTTATTTTAACTGTGAAATTTATTATCAGCACGATTGTAGTAAACTCATACACACAAAATTCAAAAGCATACGAGAATCAAGAAGGGTCATGTTGTTGCATGAAGGCTGAGTTAAGAAATTAATAAATTGTATGCAAACTATGACATTTTAATTAAATAGACTAAAGATTACGTCTCTTACAACTTTTCATCTATTTTTAAATTTTAAATATTTTATTTAAATAAATATTTAATTTTAGCATTTAATTCAATAATAATAATAATAGTTCATTTTGATTTTTTTTTTAAAGAATTTTTTCAAATATATATATTTTAAACATTTTTGAAACAATTTTCAAAAATTATAATCAAACTATAAATAATGTGAGAATATATTTGAAAGAAAAGTTTGAAAACAGATGGCTGAATCGTAAAAAAAAAAGAATGGAGCCATGTAGGATGACTACGTTAACAGCATGGCAAATCGTTGTTCGCCGAGTGGCGGACACGCCAACACGGGTTCCACGCGGGAAGCCATGCGGGCAATTTGCGTGCCAGACCGATCGAACGGTTCAGGGCCTCTCCCCGTGGGCACGAACGGCCCATATCCATTCTCCTATTAGGCGCGATTGGACAGTCCACACGCCTTCGATCAAATGGCCCAGATCTGTTCTCTAATTAGACGCGATCGGATGACTGAGGAGGCACCACGCGGACTCGAATGGACGGCCCATATCGAGGGAAGAGGAGTATTTAAACTCTTTTTCCACCAAAATCCTAACCATAGCCGCACGCCTGCTCGCTTGAGAAGAAAAAGAAGAACGACAGCCGAAAGAGAAGCCTAAACACCGGTGTCGCCACATCGGAGACCCAAATCGACGCCAGTAAGTGTGATTTTCTCCCGTTAGTTTTGTTTTTTCATTTTAAGCTACCCAAATCACTTTTTTAATGTAGAAAAACTCGAGGAAAGGACGTAAACAGAGGACGAAGCTTGGCTGTCGTTGTACTCAAAACTGAAAAATGCTTCGATAAGCCAAATCCTCTTCCCATTCACTCTATTTTCCCCATCCCTTAACTGCACAACCTATTTCTGATGTAGTGTGACCAAAAAAGCCATAAGCTGCGAAGGAGGAGTGGTGGAGTTGTAACGCCTCGCCTTAAAGATGGGGCATTACCACCACCTATCATCCCAATTCTAGAACATCCTCCATTATGCAACAAATTATTATGATTAAATTCCTTAAAAGTAACAATCATCTCCTTTCAATTACACATCTAGAGAGTACATGGTTAATTCGCATAATTTGATGTTAGAACAATTATAATCTTAATATTAATAAAGTGTGTACACTCATGTATATCAAGCGAGTATCTTATACTAGCGTTCGTTCCTTTTTTAAGTGTGGGGCTCCACTGCTATGCATTCTGATTTCGATTTCTGATTTAACACATATGAAAACAACAGTAATGAGCATCAGTAGGCCCAATAAGAAAAATGTAGAACTTAAGACTAACAACATAGAAACCAAGAAACTTCCCATCCTAACACTCCTCACTTAGACCCTCTGTAACGCCCACTAATTTTTTGATTTTTATTATTATTAATTTTATTTAGTTTATTTTATAATTTTATTATTTTAATTGATTTATTTAATTTAATTTAATTTTTTTAATAAAAATAAAAATAAAAATAATGATAAAATAGGGTAAAAATATTATTTGAATTTAATTGAAATTGATTTTGGGAAAAAGTGGTGAAAATTAGGATTCTGGTGGTATTTTTTAAAAGAAAATCGGAAACCGGAGGTCAAAACGTAATTTAAAAAAATTATGCCCTGTCAGCGCCACATCAGCAGCCACGTCAGCGGCCCAGTCAGCAGTCCTGTCCAACCAGGACCTGCCGCGTGGCAAGACCACGTCGACCCGGGAACGGGCCATGTGGGCGATCCGCGTGCGCCCGATCGGACTGCCTAGATGTGTCCCCGCGCGCACGGACGACTCAGATTTAATCAAAATGGACGGCTGTGATTAAAAGGCAAAAGGGTATAAATAAAACCTCCACACCTGACCACAAAAACCCTAGCCGCCTGCCCTCACCGGAGAAGACGAACCAGACGCCGGAGGAGCCGGCCGCCGCCACCCGCCGTCGCACCGGGGAGTTTTCCAACCGTCGATCGAGGTAAATTTCATACCCCGACTCATTTTTCAATGCTGAGTTCCCCTGTGGCCAAACCGGAGCCAAAATCCAGGCCAAACGGTCGAAAAATACGGCCGAAACCCAGTGGCGCCGCCACGCCCCTCCTCGGTTTTTGCCTCCGATAAGGCCCTTCCAGGCCTCCGTTTGATACAATTTTTATATCACCATGATCACCATTCCTTTCTCTACAAGTTGATCGGAGCCAAATCACCAAAACACGAACCTCGCCGGAGAGCCGCTGCACTCGAGAGCACCGCTGCCGGTAAGCTTCGGTTTTTCATAATTTTTTGGCCCCCCGAGGGCCCTAGGGTTGTTTTATCGCATGGACCGATGCGAGTGTGGCCGAATTCGGCCGAAAACGGCCAACTCGAGGCGAATCGCCACCGCTTGCGGCGGCGCCGTCGCCGGAGCACGGCGGAGCCGCCGTGCCGGAATTGCGATATTGGCCGAAAGGGGCCCTGGGTCTAATTTGGGATTTTTTGGGACACGTGCAGGTACCAGTAGTGCGTTTCAGTTCCCCGGAAAAAATTCAAGAAAAATTAGGAACAGCCTGCAGGCGCACTTTAGAGCCATATTCGGACCCCGAAATAAGTAA